TGGAGAACCCCACTCGATCAGCTCCAAGAACACGCCAACAAGCTAGCAGCAACTGATGGTAACATGGTTTCTTCTTCGAGAGAATTATGTATCTGGCACTCGACTTATGTATTCGGCACCGTAATAAATCAGTCTTTCGTATTTGATATTTAAAAATTTAAACTTTTTTATTTGGTACCAAGTTAAAATTTTCTTTTCTATATGGCACTACCGTCTATTTCATCCATTCATCTCTTAGTTGACTATTTTGATTGTGTCAATTTTTTCTTAGTGTGACCAACATACTCTCCGTTACTCACGCATCCAATTTCTCCCTGGACTTCCTGAGCGGCCGAGCGCTCCTGTCTCCCGTGAGTCCGTGACCTTCTTCCCCAAAAAAAACACCAACCCCTATATTGATGGAAGGAGGAGGAGAGAATGATGGAGCAGAGGATGTTGCGGCCGGCGGTGCCCAGCACCAGCTGCGCGTGCCCTCTGGCGGGGCGACCTCACCCGGCGGAGCCAGGCCGTGGTGCGGTGGCGGGGCCGATGCTCCGGCCAGCCCGTGGCGTGGTGGAGGCGGCGCGGCCCCTCCAGCCAGCCAGCAGCGTGGCAGAGGCGGCGCGACGGCGGCTCCCGGCGCGCAGGCCACAGGGCAGCCTCCCCAGGCCAGATCGGGAGGATTTGTGGGGGCATGTTCTTGGACCTAGAACGAGATAGAGTTTTCTTGCACTTGTTATTTGTGAGATTTGCAATGCTTTTTTTGAGCTAACCCGGGCTACATATCCAAAAGCTTGGGAAGACAAGCAGTGCCCCAGCGAAGTCCTTTATTGAATACTCCATCCGTCCTAAATGTCAATCGTTTTCGCTTAAAAAACAACTTTGACTAAATATATATTAAAAACATTAATAGTTATGATACATAATTAGTATCATGTGATAGATATTTAAATTTAGTTTTTTAATAAATATATTTGGAGATCGAGTCAAAGTTATCGGCACGCAAATCGTGACGACCAACATTTAGGTACAGAGGGAGTAATTGTAGTTTCGGTGATTGAGCGAGAAATATGAGTACTTGTATACTTCTTATGTTCAATTGTGGAGAACTCTAGATGATTGGCTCGTTGTGACACCAGATGCTCAAACCTGTACTATTCTAAGCATTTGTGGAGAGATATATGTTTGTTGTTGTCTTCGTATCTTGCGATGATCTGACAAAATTATAGGACTAATCAAACCGAGATGAGCGAGCTGCTAAATTGTATCAAACAATTTCTGACCAAGCTAACTAGACAGGGCAAATCCTTCCCGTGTGCTAAGCCTACCCCAGCGGGACCTGCTCTTGCCTTAGAATTTAAAATTTATTATTTATTTATTTGCAGACTTCGATTATCAAAATCCTATGTTTTAGTTCACAATATATTTGTGAAATTTATAATTCTTTTATTTGACAATCTGTCCGTTTATTATTTCTCTATTTGACATCATGTATTTCTGCTACAAAGAAGGGCATTCATGTCATTTTACCAGCCACTTGATGCTGTTATTAGCCTAAATGGACGGCAGTGCTATCTAGGGAAGAAAATTTCAACTTGATGCCAAATAAATTTTTTAATGCCAAATGCAAAAGACTGATTTGTTTTAGTACCAGATACATAATTCTCCCTTCTTCTTTTTCATACTTGTTAAAGTTTACGTCTTTATACCATCTTAATTCACCGAGGGTGATTATACTCCCCTAAAGTATTTCATCGAATGTTTGACGTATGTATAGAGTATTAAATATAGATTAAAAAATAACTAATTACACAGATTGCGATTAATTTGCGAGATGATTTTTAAGCCTAATTAGTCCATGATTTGATAAAGTGGTGCTCCAGTAAAGACACCGTAAATATATGCTAATGACAGATTAATTATGCTTAATAAATTCGTCTCGCATAGTACTGAGGATTTCTGTAATTTATTTTATTATTACCATCCGAACACTCACATGTGACACCCTAATGTGATATCAACATAACACCTCTAAACTTTAGCCCTGGATTTAAACACCACCTAATAGAGTCTACGTTTCTGTACTCTTTATATGTTCATCATCTCTTAGGCTACATCGTTCTACGATCTTATATCTAAAAATCCTCCGATCTGATTTTGAATCTCTCCGTTTTTGACGTCCTTAAGGCATGCCGTGCTCCCTATTTTATTCGTTTTTTAGCTTTGCTACAATGGTTCATAAATCTTATTCTCTTTATCGTGATTGGATTTGTTTTTCTTTCGGGACCCATTTGGCTTATCCCATATTCGATTTGTTCGACTTGTTTTTTCAGTCGGAACTGTATTTTTTTCTCACAACGATTCAGCCGGAACAGTATTTTTCAGCCAGTTTTAGCCAAGATTCAGCAAGCCGAACGGAGCCTCTGTAACCAGCGACAGGAACTGAATAAAATACGGGGGATCAAAATGCAAAAGTAAACGCAGTTGTACAGAACTGAATCAAATAACTGAAGTTGCTGGCATGATCGTGATCCCCCAGAAACCCCTGCCATGCACTTGCACCGTAGCAACTATTTTGGTATAGAATTTGAGTAACTATGTATAAATAATTTTAAACAAATGAATAGCAAGTAAGGTGCCAACAATGTTTCGCAAAAGTGCTGACGGGATAAAATGACCACATTCCCGTTCCCTATTAAAAGAACGCCTTATGCAGAATCGGAGACGGCTTATTGACATCTCTATACGCACCTGTTTGCTTGTTGGTTTCAGCCAGCCCAAACCAGCCAGCTAACAGTGTTTTCCTCTCACAAAAAATCAGCACCAGCCAGCCCAAACCAGCACCAGTACCGACCAGCGAACAGGGCCATGATTGTACTAAATCGAAATGATACGATGATACAATATATCTAAATTTTATACTTCCTTGGTTCCATAATAGATGGCGTTTTAGTTTTGGCATAGGAATTAAGGAGGAGTAAAAAAAATGTAATACAGAAGGAGAGAGATAGAGATGTATTTGTAAAAGAAATACTAAATATGTTCTAAATTATAGTCCGTTTGACTTTTTTTACTCCAAGTTTAACCACTTGTCTTATTTAAAAATTTATGTTAAATATCACTTGTTTTGTTGTGGCTTGCTTTATTAACAAAAGTTCTTTAAGAATGACTTAAATTTGACTATGTTTGTATAAATTTTTTTTGAATAAAACGAGCGGTCAAACTTAGGGTAAAAAAAAGTCAAACGAATTATAATTTGGAACGGAGGGAGTATGCATTTTAAGGTGGGAATGACAGCTAATAATTCAGTGTAATAAAAGGTTAAAATACCAAGTATTATGAGTTGGAGAGAGTAGTATCTTTATTTCGATGCTATGATCGTATATACTATATAATAATTGATATAAGTAATTCTGTTAAAATGATTCAGCCGTGATAAAATTCTATTTTTAAAATTTAAGAGAAGTTGCAAATAATAACAAGAATTACACTCAATAAAGTTTAAAAGGTAAATAAATTAATTAAAATCAATAGTATAGGTTTAAATCTTTACTACGTATCACAAACCTTATATAAAATAAAATATATATTTTGTAGTAAGTTTGATAGGATCCCGATACAAACGATTATACCTGGCATCCTGAATTCTGTCGATTGTAACAACTTTGGGTCGGCTCGAGATCGATTGAGGGGGCGTGCTGGGAAGAGCAACACTGAAGGTGATTAGGAGATAAAACCCCATATTCAACTTATTTAGCTTGTTTTTTAGCTGAAACAGTATTTTTCTCTCACAATAATTTAGTCACAACAGTATTTTTCAGCCAGTTTGAGCCAAAATTCGGCAAACCAAACAAGGCTAGCCGCCAGATGCTCCCGCATTGTTTGGGGATTCTTGTGTTGACTCCCCCTCCGGCCTCCCCCTCTCTCTAGAAGTTTGGGGTTTTCTCCCGCGCAAGCGCCAGCCGCCAGATGCTCCCGCATTGTTCGAGTTTGGATTATCTGGGGCCGCCGGGGCGATTTAGGGGGTGTTTAGTTGGTGAGGTGAAAATTTTTGAGTGTCACATCGAATGTGTCGGAATGACGTCGGGAAGAGTTTTTGGATACTAATAAAAAAACAAATTACAGAACTTATCAGGAAACTGCGAGACGAATATAATGATACTAATTAATCGGTCATTAGCACATATGGGTTACTGTAGCATTTAAGGCTTTTAATGGACTAATTAGGCTTAAAAGATTCGTTTCGCGATTTTCAACCAAACTGTGTAATTAGTTTTTTTTCGTCTACATTTAATGCTCCATGCATGTGCCGCAAGATTCGATGTGACATTTTGGGTTGAAATTTTTTGGAAACTAAATAGGGCCTTATTCCACGCATTTCATCATCTTTATTTCCTGTCGCGGTATAGGCTTTTTCTTCGAAACAGATTTCATTCTTTATTTATTGTCACGGTATAGGCTTTTTCTTCGAATCAGATTTCTCATCTTTTATTTTACTAACTAGCGGGAATGATTCCATTTCCACAGGGGATGCGTGTTTCTTTTTCCAAGGGAAAGAATGATAGATGCATGCTGCATTTGTTTTTGTTTTTGTTTTCCCCCTCTTTGGATAGTGGAGGACCATGAAGAAAAAAATGCAGTTATTGGATTGGTCCTGTCATGTTCGCTTGTGCTACAGTTTCGTTGATCATGAATCTTACCCTGCAATTTCCTAAACCTTTTCATGAATCTGATTTTTTTTTCTATAAAAAAAATGTTCTTTGACCTGACTACATTCCTGTATTTTATTTAACAGATGGGCTTGAGGAGGACCTGGCCCAAGCATCAGTGCAGTAAACATTGGACACATGGCTTCCCTCACAAGTTAGTCCTCTTTTTCGCCTCTCTCTCACAGCATCGTTATTGTGCTGCTCGTTGATGAGAACTCCTACAAGATTGGATATGCATGTCAGTTCTGTAACATAAGTATTCTGATGAGGGATTGCATATTCTTTGAAATTTATTATCTGCTAGGCTCTTGGATGGCGGGCATGTGCAGGAGCCCATTTTGCTCCAAGGAAGCTTCAACGTCATGTGGATGGGAGGAAATATTCAACACCTCCACTTGCACGAATCATATCCTGGCGATTGGCATCGCTGCTCTAATCGTCATCGTTCTTGCAATCCAGCTGCTCGTCAGGATTGCAAAGAGCAGACAATATGCGCGCCAGCTCGTCGCGCTCACTTCGCCACTGCAGTTGGCTGCTGTAGTGTTCAATGGCTGCTTGGGTCTCATTTATCTTGGCCTTGCATTGTGGATGCTGGGGACCAACTTCAGCCAGCATGCTTCTGTCTACCTTCCACATCGGTGGTTGGTGAACTTGTCTCAGGGACTCAGTTTGATCCTTATCAGCTTTGCTTTCAGCATCAGAACACAGTTCCTTGGAGCAGCATTTTACCGGGTTTGGTCAGTTCTGCTGACCACATATGCTGCATTCGTTTGCTGTACCTCAGTTGTTTACATGATTGCAGATAAGGTACTAGGCATGAAGGCTTGTTTGGATGTTCTATCCTTACCAGGTGCACTACTGCTCCTTGTTGTTTATGGGATTTGGCACGTCAGGGAAGATGGTAATGGAGGAGTTGAAAGTGCTTTATATAAGCCTCTGAACATTGAGACTCACGGTGATATGGCTGACTCTCAGAGTCATGTAACCCCGTTTGCTCAAGCCGGGATTTTCAGCGTGATGACATTTTGGTGGCTAAATCCTATGATGAAGATGGGTTATGAGAAGCCTCTTGAGGACAAAGACATGCCGCTTTTAGGTCCGTCAGATCGAGCATATAGCCAGTACTTGATGTTTTTGGAGAATCTGAACAGGAAGAAGCAGTTGCAGGCATATGGCAATCCGTCGGTCTTTTGGACTATCGTTTATTGTCACAAAAGTGCAATCTTGGTCTCAGGTTTCTTTGCATTGCTCAAAGTGGTTACATTGTCTTCAGGTCCAGTGATTTTGAAAGCATTCATCAACGTTTCACTTGGGAAAGGGTCCTTTAAATACGAAGCCTATATTCTAACTGCAGCAATGTTTGTTATTAAATGCTTTGAATCTTTGTCACAGAGGCAGTGGTATTTCCGTACTCGGAGGTTAGGACTCCAAGTGAGGTCATTCCTATCGGCTGCCATCTATAAGAAACAACAGAAGCTATCCAGCTCTTCAAAACTGAAGCATTCTTCTGGAGAGATCATAAACTATGTCACTGTTGACGCCTACCGGATTGGTGAGTTCCCATACTGGTTCCATCAGACATGGACAACAAGTGTCCAACTTTGCATTGCTCTAGGGATTCTGTATAATGCAGTTGGTCTTGCTATGATTTCATCTCTGGTTGTCATCATTCTCACTGTAATCTGCAATGCTCCTCTAGCCAAGTTGCAACACAAATTTCAGAGTAAACTTATGGAAGCACAAGATGTGAGACTGAAGGCGATGTCAGAGTCCTTAATTCACATGAAGGTCTTGAAACTTTATGCATGGGAGACTCATTTCAAGAAGGTCATTGAGGGGTTAAGGGAGACTGAAATCAAGTGGTTGTCAGCATTCCAGCTTAGGAAATCATACAACAGTTTCCTGTTCTGGACATCACCTGTTTTAGTTTCGTCTGCAACCTTCCTAACATGCTATCTTTTGAAAATTCCTCTTGATGCTAGCAACGTATTCACATTTGTGGCCACTCTGCGCCTTGTTCAAGATCCAATTAGGCAGATACCAGATGTAATTGGAGTCGTTATACAAGCTAAAGTTGCTTTCTCTAGGATAACAAAGTTTCTTGATGCGCCTGAGCTGAATGGACAGGTTAGGAAGAAATACTGTGTGGGCAATGAATATCCTATAGTGATGAACTCTTGCAGTTTCTCATGGGATGAGAACCCATCAAAACCAACTCTGAAGAATATAAATTTGGTAGTCAAAGCTGGAGAGAAGGTTGCAATCTGTGGCGAGGTAGGATCGGGAAAGTCAACACTTTTGGCTGCAGTTCTTGGAGAGGTTCCTAAAACTGAAGGCATGGTATGCATTTTATTAACTTAACATTTATCTGATACTTCTATATAGCTTTTTTTATTGGGGAATTTTTTTTGTAACTTCATAATCTTAACACTCAGCTGCAAGTGCATAATTGCCATGTAGTTAAGCAGTACAACACTGCTATGTGCGCTTCAGAACCTCGGTTTCTAGTTTCTTTCTCAAAATACAACATGCAACAACAATATCTTATGCTTGACAAAGTTGTTATAGTTAATTTGTTTGATGATATTGGAAAATTAAGAAAATTAAGCATGTTAATTGGTTCCTCCGAATTAAATTTTTCAGATCCAAGTTTGTGGGAAAATAGCATATGTTTCTCAAAATGCATGGATCCAAACAGGAACCGTGCAAGACAATATTCTCTTTGGGTCTTCGATGGACAGGCAAAGATACCAAGAAACACTTGAGAGGTGTTCTTTAGTAAAAGATCTTGAAATGTTGCCATATGGAGACAATACTCAAATCGGGGAGAGGGGTGTAAATCTTAGCGGTGGTCAGAAGCAGCGTGTTCAGCTTGCTCGTGCATTATACCAAAATGCAGACATTTATCTTCTTGATGACCCTTTCAGCGCTGTTGATGCTCACACAGCTACTAGTCTTTTTAATGTAAGTGGCTAATAACAATTGTGAATTGCAATATTGATCATAGGCTGTTTAGAAACATTTATTTATTTATTTGACAGGAATATGTCATGGGAGCTCTGTCAGATAAGACTGTCCTTTTGGTGACCCACCAAGTCGATTTTTTGCCTGTATTTGATTCTGTTCTGGTATGTTTTCATACTTTATCCTAATCTCTCTTTAACTTTTCATACCTAAGACATTTTGTGTTTCGACTTTCTCGCTGATCAAGCAATATCCATGTTTATATTTATTTTAGTGACCGTATTTGTTTGTTGATGCCATCTGAAACAAATGTTGTTTTTTTGTCAGTTAATGTCAGATGGCAAAATTATTCATTCTGCACCTTATCAAGATTTATTGGCATATTGTCAAGAATTTCAGAACCTTGTAAATGCCCATAAAGACACTATCGGTGTTTCAGATCTTAACAGAGCCGGCCCCCACAGAACAAATGAAATATTGATCAAGGGATCGATTGATATTCGTGGAACCCTATACAAAGAGTCTTTGAAGCCATCACCAGCAGATCAGCTGATCAAGACAGAGGAAAGAGAAATGGGTGATACTGGTCTCAAGCCTTATATCCTTTACTTGCGTCAGAATAAAGGCTACTTCAATGCCTCTCTGGGTGTTCTTTGCCATATAATTTTCTTATCTGGCCAAATATCACAGAATTCATGGATGGCTGCTAATGTCCAGAATCCTGATGTTAGTACACTTAAGTTGATTTCTGTGTACATTGCAATTGGAATCTTCACAGTGTTCTTCTTGCTATTTAGATCGTTAGCACTTGTCGCTCTTGGGGTCCAGACATCAAGATCTTTATTTTCCCAGTTACTCAACTCATTGTTCCGTGCACCAATGTCCTTTTTTGATTCTACTCCTCTTGGAAGGGTACTTAGCCGGGTAAGGATACTTAAACAAATTGTTCATCTCTCTGAGATATATTGGGTAGTGAGGTTGGTTTTCAACTTGCACCTCCTACATATTAGTTGTAGTGTGAACGACTCTCCCAGCAATCAAAGCGAATCTTTAAACCACTAGACAGATAAAATATGATAAAACCAAAGTTCTATTTTACATTTGGATATTTCCTATTGATGGATGAACTTGGAATTTTTTTATGCAGGTATCTTCAGATTTGAGTATTGTTGACCTTGATGTTCCATTTGGATTGATGTTTGCTGCTGGTGCCAGCTTAAACGCATATAGCAATCTGGGGTATTGGCTGTTGTTACATGGCAAGTTCTGTTCGTCATTGTGCCGATGATGGTTTTGGCACTCAGGTTGCAGGTAATTTTGGGAAATTTGGTTGGATACAATTTGCTGTTATATATTATATATATATCATATACTAGTTAATGTGCTTTGCTGCTGTTTTTTCTACCAAGGAGTGAAGAATAGCATGTCTTAAGTTCTTAATTACGACTGACTGAAATCTAATATGCTTGGTCATGCAGAGGTACTATTTAGCCTCAGCTAAGGAATTGATGAGGATCAATGGCACTACCAAATCAGCTCTGGCTAATCACTTGGGCGAGTCAGTTGCAGGGGCTATAACAATAAGGGCTTTTGAGGAAGAAGATCGTTTCTTTGAGAAAATTTGGAACTTATTGACAAGAATGCTGGTTCATATTTCTATAATTTTGCAGCAACTGAATGGCTGATTCAACGTCTGGAGACAATGAGTGCTGCAGTTCTTTCTTTTTCTGCCTTTATTATGGCTCTTCTTCCTACAGGAACTTTTAGCTCTGGTGAGCATTATAGAAGTTGTAATTTGCATGTATCACTAGTTCACCACATCTATGCAAAAACATTGGGTAAAGTTTTTTTTCCTGAAAAAAAGACCCAGGAAGTTCTGTGACAGTTCACATCTTGCATTTGATGCTTAATAAATTATACAATGTACTGCAGGAAAATTTTACTTTGTCTTCATAGCTTCCTGAAGTAAAGCCATGAAATGTTAAGGTCTTTCTATGTATACCTGATAATGTTGAATCACAAGTAAAATTATATTTGTTGCAAGAATGCTAGGCAGGATATTTGGTGAATAATGCATAATGTTTCTTAATCACATGATTTTGTATAAGAACTGCTGAACTTTGAGCCCAAGGAGTCGGAATGGAAACACCAAGATTAATTCATGACTATTTAAAACCAAAACTACATGCATTTGGTATTGTTCATGTTATGAATATTTCAGTATTGTCATCAGAAACACTAATCACTCCATTTTGTGCATGTGCAGGCTTTATAGGAATGGCATTGTCTTATGGTCTATCCTAAATAATTCATTTGTTTTCTCTATCCAAAACCAGTGCCAGCTATCAAATCAAATAATCTCTGTGGAAAGGGTGAACCAGTACATGGACATACCAAGTGAAGCAGCAGAGATTATTGAAGAAAATCGACCATCACCAAACTGGCCGCAAGTTGGTAGGGTGGATCTTAGAGATTTGAAGGTAAATCTATATAAACATTTACATGTATGCCTTACAACGAAACCTTTTTGTATTCTAGGTTCTAGAAATTAACATGAATGATTTTCACTCAACAGATCAGATACAGGCAAGATGCTCCTCTTGTACTACATGGAATCACATGCACTTTCGAAGGTGGAGATAAGATCGGTATAGTTGGCCGGACAGGAAGTGGAAAGACAACTTTAATTGGTGCATTGTTTCGTCTTGTTGAGCCAACTGGAGGGAAAATAATTATAGACTCTGTAGATATCACTACAATTGGCTTACATGACCTGCGTTCACGTTTGGGTATCATTCCGCAAGATCCGACACTCTTTCAGGGAACCATAAGATATAATCTAGATCCTCTTGGGCAATTTTCGGATCAACAAATATGGGAGGTACGATTGTCTTATAATATGCACGAATATTCATGATGTTTCTAGCCCTATTGTATTAGTTTACCAGGAAAAGAATGTTACTTTGAACGAACCTGTTGTTAAGTTGAAATACTGAGTCCCCTTCCTCTTACTGGCAAGATTCGGCACAATAAGTTTAATATAGTGCCCAGTAATTTTAGAAATTTCAGAACATATTTTGAATGACCTGATGAGTCACTACGAGACGCCCTCTTTGCCGAGGGCCCAGGGCACTCGGCAAAGGCCCAAAAGCCCTCGGCAAAGAGCCCTCGGAAAAAAAAATTAACGGTAAAGAGGTTTTTTGCCGAGGGCTATTTGTCGGGCACTCGACGAAGCCTTTTCCGAGGGCCAACAGCGGCGCTCGGCAACGAAAAGCAGCCGTCAAAGACGCTGCTCCGTTGACGGCACCTCTGCCGAGTGCCAACAGTTAGGGCACTCGGCAAAGACATTTTTATTTTTTTTAAAAAAACTCTTTGCCGAGTGCCACGGCGGCAAGGCACTCGGCAAAGACATTTTTTATTTTTTTTAAAAAGCTCTTTGCCGAGTGCCTCCCCAGCCTGGCACTCGGCAAAGATTTTTTGCTTTTTTTTAAAAAAAAAAACTTTGCCGAGTGCAATGTCCTGGCACTCGGCAAAGTTTCCCAGCTTCGCCGAGTGCCATGACCATTGCACTCAGCAAATCAACCGAAACTGCAATTTTTTTTTGGTTTTTGCATTTCACTGACACAAACAGTTCAAATATATATCACATGTCACATATATATCACAAACATCACAATAATCACATATATATCACAACGAAACCATTTTCACACATTATATCACAACCACAAGTCACAAATTCACAAACACAGTCCATCAAGTCAAAGCACAAGTCACAACCACAAGTGAAGCTCAAGTCCAAGCACATGATGAAGCACAACTCCTCAAAAAAGCGGCCTATGACACGATGGTTCATTCGGTGACGATGAGCGGGGTTATTCAAACCGCCGACGGCGGAAGCTACGCAAAAGGATAAGAGGTTGCATGTGTGAGATTCATCTAGTAAGTTTCTATGTGAAGCATTGGTGTATGTCATAGCTAGTGCAAGCATCTAATAAGTTTCTATGTCAAGCATCTAGTAAGTTTCTATGTCAACCATGGTTGTATGTCAAAAAAGCATCTAGTAAGAGTGAACTTTCATACTTACAGGAGTGGCTGTAGGAGTAGGCGGTGGAGGTGCTGCCAACGGCAAAGATACACCCCCTTGCTGGACACTCCGCATAAAGGCCTCCATTTCTTGCATCCTCCTCTCTCTGGGTCATGAGCGCTTCCCTCTGGGCCTGCAGTGTTTGCGCTCTGAGCCTCGACCACGAGCTTCTAGGCTGCAGCTCGGCCTGCAATACAAACTTCAATGTTTCAAAGAATGCAAATGTAACTTAGGTGTGCAAAGATGAACGCGTCGACGAGTAAAACAGGACGTACCTTGAGAGCGTCGACCCGCTGTAGTGACGGAGTAGGCCGTGGGCGTATGGGCTGGCTGGAGCTCGTGCTCCGTGCTCGGAGCACGTCGAGAGAGGGAACAGTGGTGGAGTTGATGGCGCCGTCTGCAATCCACAGCCGTCCATGCTTCTTGCCTCTTCCTAGCCTCATGATGGTCTCTGCATCAATGGGCTCAGTGCGCACATCGTAATCTTCCCCATGGACCTCCCTCACCTTTGAGGTGTACTCTTGAACCTTAGTGTGCACGGTCGGGTCGGAGTACACCTCGCGCGGGGTAGACGGGTCGAAGGAGACAGAGGAAGACGCCCTGCCCATATGGGACATAGCCCACGCAGAAACTCCGAGACCTCCACGTCCAAGGTGTGCGACCTCCCTATGAGTAAGACGGCAAGATGGTGAGAAATAAGGCGAGAACTCAGCGTCAAATAAGATAAAAGAAATCACTTACATATGCTTGTTTGTAGGCGGGGAGGTTGCGGGTGCCTTGATGGTGAGTAGCACCTCGCCTCAGGGCAGACAGCCGGTCCCGCCCTCTCGTGTGGTTCTCAAAGAAAGTCGTTGGACAACCACATCCCACGATCATCTCCCCAAAGACACGGAGTGGGATCAAGACCACCAGGAATCACCTACAAGTCATCGATTATTGGACATAGAAAAGATAAAATTAAACCGACTTAATCTCAAAACGAATCATTATTAATGTTTTTCGTCTCACCTCAAGGTATTGGGCCCCGGACAGCTCCACCTTTCTTGCATCAGGCTTGCTTTGCGATGGATCGCTTCAACACCACGGGCGTAGTAGTCTCTGTGGGCACCGCACGCGCCTCGTGGTGCATGTCGGTGGCGATACTTCCCTACAAATGGCGCGGCAAATTTGATCCGCCGAGCCTCAAGTCCTTCTTCCGCTTGAAATACATCTCGTATACAAAACCGATGTATCCATTCATTATTTCAATAAAAGACTTGTCCAATGAAAATGTTGTGCGAGAGAGACTTACCCAAAACTCAGCCATCACATGTGGAGATGTTTGGCTTTTAGGCATCCGACGTCACAACTTGCTTCAAACTTTCTTAATTTTTTACCATGGCCGCCACATGCGATAACAAGACACCTCGACAAGTTTCGTGATTTTCGGACTTCGTTTGGATTTTATATAATCTAAATACACTTTTACCGCAAGTACATCGCCATGTTACGACAACAAGATGCTCGTAATTTCATGCGAGTTCCTGGATACAGCCTCAACATACGCCAAACATCATGAATACCATTTTTTGAATGACCAAATTCTATTATTTCATGTACATGCAGTTCAAATTTGAAATAGTTGAAAAAAATTCAACGAAACAAAAATAATTAACGAAATATAGTAAAAAACTCAAAATTATCCCAAATTTTGAAATGGAGTTTCAATTACTGTAGCAAGGCCCTAGGAAAAAATGGGGAGAAAAAAACAATTTTTTTTAATTTGCCGAGTGTCAACCTTGGCACTCGGCAAAGACTGTCTTTGCCGAGCGCCAGGTCACAGGGCGCTCGGCAAAGAATTTTAAAAAAAAAATTACAAAAACGGTTAAAAAACTTTTGCCGAGGGCCTAACGGTGATGTCCTCGGCAAAGATTGACGGTAGGGGATGGACATCGTGTCAGGAGGTGTTGTCGAGGGCCGACCCTCGGCAAAAAATTATTGTTGCCATGTGCTTGTCTTTGCCGAGGGTCCGGCAAAGACTCTTTGCCGAGGGTGGTTATTTGCCGAGGGTCAGACCTTCGGCAAAGACTTTTTACCAAGTGTCCGAGCATTTGCCGTCGGCAAATCATTAGGCCTCGGCAAAGATGCTGTGTCCGGTAGTCATGAGAATATTGCTCTCTCGAATGACGTATATACCAGCTCAAACTTCAAAGCAATCACTTAAATGATTACTTTCTATTCTTTTGCAGGTTCTTGACAAATGTCAGCTTCTTGAAGCTGTCCAGGAGAAGGAACAGGGGTTGGACTCACTTGGTAGGATTCCTTGCTATTTATACTTTGTTTTCCAGAACTCATAGCAAATTAAGGAATTCTGGATGGATCATTGTCAAACAAAAAAAATGTCGTGACACTAAATTTGCCAAAATATCCAGAATTCAGACTAGGGGTGACAATACATGCTATGAAGTACTATTTATGATCTGCACTACAACAACAACAACAACAACAACAACAACAACAACAACAACAACAACAACAACAACAACAACAACAACAACAACAACATAGCCTTTCAGTCCCAAATAAGTTGGGATAGGCTAGAGTTGAAACCCACCAAGAGCCCAAGTCACGGTTCAGACACTTCAATAGCTGCTTTCCAAGTACTCCTATTCAAATATAGATCTTTAGGTATATCCCAAGCTTTCAAATATATTTTTATTGCCTCCCGCAATGTTAATTTCGGTCTTCCTCTACCTCTCATCGTATTATTAGCTTGGCTTAGGACTCCACAATGCACTGGTGCCTCTGAAGGTCTCCTTTGGACATGGCCAAACCACCTCAACCGATGTTGGACAAGCTTTTCTTCAATTGGTGCTACTTCTAGGCGATCACGTATATTATCGTTCCGAACTCGGTCCATTCTTGTGTGACCACAAATCCATCGCAACATACGTATTTTTGCAACACTCAGTTGTTGAACATGTCGAATCTTTGTAGGCAAACATTCTGCTCTATACAACATAGCCGGTCTAATCGCCGTTCTATAGAACTTGCCTTTTAGCTTTTGTGGTACCTTCTTGTCACAGAGAATGCCAGAAGCTTGTCGCCATATGATCCACCCTGCTTTGATTTTATGGCTAACGTCCGCATTAATATCTACATCCCTCTGTAGCATCGATCCCAGATACCGAAAGGTATCCTTCTTAGGCACTACTTGACCTTCCAAACTCACATCTCCCTCCTCCTATACAACTCCGTCAAAGTCGCATCTCATGTATTCGGTTTTAGTTTTGCTCAATCTAAAACCTTTAGACTTGAGGGTCTACCGTTATAACTCTAGTTTCCTATTTACTTCCTAAACCTCCTGTTTTTCCCCTCTATATTGCATGTGCAAAATCTGCCCTACTTGTTTTTTGGGAAAAAAAACTCTTTTAAAAAAATCATGACTGTGTCTTGGCACGTCTTTCATTAAGTGGAGATAGAAAAGTAAAATCAGTTACCCTTGTAAATGAGGTTCAAGTAAAATAAGTAACTTCTCTTTGAAAAGATAAATCGTTTATTTGACTTCCATAAAAAATACTCAATCCATCCCAAATCGTAAGACGTTTGATTTTTTTTGACACCAAGTTTGACCACTCGTCTTATTAAAAAATTTGTGTAAAATATCACTTCTTTCGTCGGGGTTTGGTTTATTAATAAAAATTCTTTAAGAATGACTTAAATTTGACTATATTTGTATAATTTTTTTGAATAAGACGAGTGGTCAAACTTAGGATAAAAAGTCAAACGTATTATAATTTGGGATGGAGGGAGTATGTGATTTACATTCGCAGACACACAATGAATATAATATTCTTAGATAGCATGACATATGAGTTTGTCTTATTCTCTGTCCTGACTGAGACGTTGTATAGTTGTGGAGGATGGTTCGAACTGGAGCATGGGTCAAAGGCAGCTCTTCTGTTTGGGACGTGCACTTCTAAGAAGATGTCGTATCTTAGTTCTCGATGAGGCCACGGCATCTATAGACAATGCTACTGATGCTATCCTTCAGAAAACAATCAGGACAGAATTTAGAGATTGCACTGTGATCACTGTCGCACACCGTATACCCACTGTTATGGACTGCAGTATGGTACTTGCAATGAGTGACGGTATGTTTTCTTCATGAACTTGCTATAGATACAACCGTATCCAAAGTTATTGGCTATGAATCAACACGACAAGATCTGCAAAACCTAGGGATTATAGTAGTGATCTTTGCATGCCTGCTTTAAAAATAAATCAGAATTAAACTATTTAGATTGTGAAAGTCTGTCTCAAGATAGTATTTCAGCATTTACATGTGAAGTCCATGCTAATGGGTTCAACTAACTTCCAGGGAAAGTAGTGGAGTATGACAAGCCTACGAAGCTCATGGAAACCGAAGGATCTCTCTTCCGTGAACTCGTCAAAGAGTACTGGTCATACACATCGAATGGAAATATTTAGGAGAAATTATGACAGTTTACATGTTCCACTCGCTGCAGTCTCTTGAAAGGAGATACAAAAACTTGTGCTCGCACATCCGAAGAGCTCTTTTATCTGAAGTCTGAAGAAAAGGCGTCAGGCATTGTCAGGAAGTGCTTGTTATCAAGTTTTCACCTTACCTTTTGAGCAACTTTCTGATAGCTTCTGTTTTGGGTCATTGCTGCCCTTCAGGCGCTGAACAGAAGGAAACCTGTTCCTCAAAAAAAGAAAAGAAAAAGATAGAGGACATCTTCAACATTTCTTTGCTCGCATAGTGAGCTAATAAAAGGATAAATGGGAGGTATGCGCATCAAGTTTGCAACCGTGATACTGCATGTTCATAAAAATGCTTAGGCTATTCCATTCAAATTTTGTGGTGTATACCTACATTGTACATTCCTACTACTGAAGTGTATATGATGTTTGTGGGAAATAATGCCTTTTTCAGCACCCTCTTGTTCATGTTTAATGTATATCCATCGGTGACTGGAGGCAACCAATTTGGTGGTAACTCTGTTTTCACTGCATGTGATGATTATAGTTTCTTCTGGCTTATATTTTTACACCACTTTTTTTTAGAATACGTCCTTGTGGCTTATGTAACTCACAGATTTATTAATAGGCACAGTTAGTTGAGTAAGATCTCACTGTTTATTTCTTTTTTTTGGTTATATGGCGTAAACATATTAAGGATGGAAGTGAACGAGATGTTTCGTGGTACTATGAAGTCGCATTTTACTGCAATTCTGTTGTACAATCGTCCTATTCGCTTAACTTATAAGCCGTACTTTTTCAGCCAACGAATAATATTTTTCTCTCACAATAAATCAGCCAACAGTATTTTCAGTCATAGCTTATCAGCTAAGCGAACAGGACAAATAACACTCCTATGTAAATATTTATTTCAATGAAAAACTGTTAGTATCTGTTTCGATTGCATTCGTAATCGGTATACCACACCTCGAGCAGCTGTACAAGTCTTTTGCGCCCATAGAATCTGAGGGGGCCTTTGAACGCATCAACTGTATGGAAATTTCTCAGAAATTCATTCATTTTCACAGAAAAAGCACAGGAAAATGGAAAATTTCCCTTGCATTCCAAAGGGTCCTAAAAGAGAAGATTTTACCTTGAACATTTTGCTAGAACAAGAAAGTTTGATAACTTGCCAACCAAAGCGTGGCAAAACAAAGAGGGAAGCGGTTAGAATCCTAGCGCAGTTGACCCAGCGCCGGCAACAACTCGGATAGGAGCTCGCTTTCTTGACCGCCATACATGACGGGGGGGCTGTGCTCCTCCAACCCTTACTAGCGAAACATGCTTAGGCACCGTCATCCTCCCGCCCATCGTCTGTTGTTCCATCTCCTCCCTCCGCGGCTCAAGGCCAGCCACGAAAAAGAACAACTAAAGAACACTGTGAGCGAGCTCCGTCAAGATCCACCACACAGCAGCTCTGCCCCTCCTCGCCGCACCCGCCGCCGCCGCCGTAGCCTCCCAGCCTCGTCCGCCCACAGCTGCAGTAGCTCACTTGTACCACCCGTCAGACGCACCGCCGCTGTAGCTCCAGCTCGACACCCCATCCCATCAGACGCCTGATCTACGTCCCATCGCCTGCTTGTGGTCCTGCGGCTGTGTCCCATGGATACAGGTTGAGCGCCCTGCGGGAGATTTGTTGGCACCGCATTTATGAGCCGGTGACATGGGGAAAAGCAACAACGCAACTACAGAGGGTTTTAAGATCGCATCAGGGGAATCAGATTGCAAAGTAGTCAAGCCGTTCCTTCAAGATCATGCCAATGATTCGAAACATGAAGCCAACCAATTCGAACTTGAACAGGCTGAGTGGAGGACTGTGGAGGCATTTCAGGACCCTTGCTGCAAGATATCCTTCTACGACATAGACTTCCTCCCCAAGCTTGGGATCCTCTTGTTGACAACAACATCAATCAATTTGAGCCCAACATTCAAGTGTTTGAAGATAACAAGAGGAAGGAATGCTCCTACCTCCAAAAGGACAAACAAAAGGCTATCTACTCATGCCCTGTTCGCTTGGCCGATAAGCCATGACTGAAAGTACTGTTGGCTGATTTGTTGTGAGAGAAAAATATTATTCGTTGGCTGAAAAGTACGACTTATAAGCCAAGCGAACATGACCCATCTAGGCCAATCTGTGGGAAAGCTTTCAAGCCAGCATCTTTCAAGTTTTTCAGATGTTCGTTTTGCTTGCCCTGATCATCACTCGGCGTGGCATGCCTCCGGCTCCCACCTTGCCACCATGCAGGAGGAGACTTGTCAGTCTGCTCAACCCAAAGAGTCTCCGGTCATACCGAGAAGTTTGGCTTCTCCGTTGGGTCTCAATCACTTTCATAAGTTACAAGATACATCTACAGCAGGGCCGTCTCAGCCACCCTCTCCACAATTCCATGCCATAGAGGCAAATTATGCATGGTCATCGATCAGAGCTCCTCCCACCAACGGGTGGAAGAAGGAACCATGTCAGCCAAAACCACTTTCAAATCTGCACCAATCAGATAGACAGAGGAAATTTCTTGAGCACGTTAGAGGGCGCTGCCTTAATTGCCTATCTACCACCATCGTGGTGGTCACTTGTCGTCGAGAACAAGATGTCATTTGGGTTAAATGAGGGTCACAGATCCTTCTCCCGTCCTAGGCGCAGACCTCACCACCACAACCGGATTGTGGAGGACCATGACTTGCGTCGGCGAGGGCCCGTGGATGACTTCTACAACTCTATGGGTCATCGTCGTGGCAGGGGCGATCTTCATGGGTCCCCTCCTCCTTGCTCTAGTCCTTCGTCCCCCCCCCTTTATGTGTACTAGGTTGCATCAGGAGGCCTTATCTGCTTTGTCTCATGGAAACGACTATGGCTACGACAGGAGGAAAAGGAAGATAACCAAGCACGTCACCTTTGCAACTCCACTCTTTAAGGTTTGCAATGATGAGTTGCCAACACTTTACGATGACATCAACTTCCTTTTCTTGGGTAACGCCTCTACTCCTGGCCAGAGCATTTACTCATGTGACCCTATGCTGTTTGAGTCACATATCTTTATTTCACCAATAGCCATTCCCTGTTCAACATCATCACCATCAGTACAGGTTAAGAGCAGAATCCTCAAGATGCTAGAGGTTGCGGCTGATTGTGCATGGTTTACTCCAACAGTGGGGGCCGTATCAACCATGGAAGTTGACCAAGTGACCTTGTTTGAGAGAGAGAAGGTTCCATTGAGCATACAGGAGGGCACTACAACAGATGCACCTGAAGAAGTACAGATAAACGACTCCATCACGGTGTTCCCACCACCACTAGAGGAGTTTACTGATCACCTAGTTCACCCACCAACAAATGAAAAGATAAAAGTGACTAAAGAATTGTTGGTGTATAGGCGCAGGTAAAAGAGCGTGAGCGAAGAGGCGCATGAGACACGCAAAAGTGATGATGGCAATATGGTGCCATCACTAATTCCACAAGAGGTTCATGTTGCGGAAACGCCTCTACTCAACAGGGCTACTGGGCTACAAGACTCTGAGCAAGCTGTGCAAACACAATCACTAACAAGAACTCCAATTATTGAGAAGCTACCTGAAGATATCATGACTATTGAGCAGTTTGTCGACCATATCACTTTACCGATATCAGCACCTTTGTTGTAATTGCCACCAAACTTATCAGAGTATTAGACGGCTGAGCAAACACAAACACCCACAAGAACTGAGATAGTGACAATGCAAGATAGCCAACGAAAAAGTTGCAAACTAGCAGAGAAAGCAAAGAGAACACCAGGGAAGAACTCAATGCAACTAGCACAAGATGTGGGTGCTAAAAAGTTGGGGGGATCCATCTCCTTCCTCAACTGATGCCTCAAGCTCGGATGAGTTTAATCACTTAGCGCAGTACTTGGACCGTCCGCTAACCAAACAGAGCATGGAGGCAGTCACGGCCCTAATCGAGCACGGGCAGCCCAAGAAGGTGAAGAAAACTCGAATGAGGGTGGCGTAGTTGGAAGTTTTTTCTAGGACAGTCCGGTCAAACCTGCCTTCAACATGTTAACTCTCTACCTCGCTTCAGGGATTCTAAGTCTGGTGTTGCTTTCGGTTAGAGGTGGTGGTGTTTCTTCTTAGTTGTTGGTGATCTCTGTGTTGTGTTCCTTTTTCTAGTTGTCAGTTAGTCGTTTCCTCCCCATTGCAGTTGCTATGCTTGTTTTTTCTTGTTTAGTTTGTGCAGCTGAGTTGCTAGTTGGGTCGCTTTTGATCAAGTTGGCTCAAGGTCGAGCAAGTTGTGGGGTAAAGTCGTTAGTTGCTTAGACGATGTTTCCAATAGTTGGCCAGGATTAGTGGTGCACTTTTCCAGATGGTGGTTTTTTTTTATCCAGTTTCCACTTAAAAACTAGGTCGACCCTATATTTTTATTTTCTTCGTCTAATAAAAATCGCGGTAAAGCTTTTGTCCCTTCTTAAGAAAATAACACTGGGAAGCGGTAAAGCTGGCTTCTGGGGCTCTTTGCCATCAAACCAAAGGGAATAAGGGATTATGCAAGATTACAGAGGAAGGGTACTGCTAACCTCCGATACCTCCGATCAGCCCAGAAGTGAGCCTTGTCATTTCGCCGAGTGCAGGCGTCTGCCATGGCCGCTGCAGCGCTGCTCACGCCTGCCATTCGCGCAAGATTACAAATGCATGCCCCACGCAGAAACACAAAGACAAGCAGGACACAAAGCTACTGCAAACCTCAAAAAAAACTGTACACGGCAATAAATAAATAAAATAAAATCCTTTAAACGGCTGCGGAAATTCTCCGCCAGCAGCTGAACCACGAAATACTAACTTGCTCTACAGGCTAAAAGTTCACTGCTTACGACGATATGGCATTTGACATCCAGTACAGTCAAGAGAGCACCCTAAACTACATTATTCTTGTTATTATATTACAAAGAAATGGCCATCTCAGGATGGCGCCGCGAATGGGTCACGAGCTGCAGCAGCTGCATCAACACCCAACACTCCACCAGCATGTCACCCAACTCTCCCCGTAGCAGGCTGCGCGAGCATGAACCACCGATCCACACCACAGTTATGCACTGGACACTACAAACAGGAGAACCAGCCTGGTAAGTAATTTGACACGCAGGCATATGTCACGACACAAAAGAAATACTACCATTTTACTTGCAGATTCATATAAGAGAGGTTGTAGGTAACCAAAGAACTGGCATTCAAAGACAAACTACCTGTGTCATGTGCCCAGGTACGGCATCAAGTCCTCGTCGTCCACCAAGTCATCAAAGTTGAGCATCGAACTACTGAAAGGAACGAGGCTGAAAGGAATTCCACCAAAAGTGCTGTCTCCGGCATCGCCGAAGAAAGGATCGTCCATGAGCTGCTGGTGGGTCTCACCAACGATTGTCCCAGAATTCCCACTGCCTGCCGTCGGGAGACTGTAAGAACCATTCGTGGCGAGAGCACCTGTCCCCATGATAGGCGCTTGGTGATCCATAGGCAGTGGTAGTGGCTGCTGCATTGCCAAACCCTGATGAACAACTGGTGAAGGATTAAAACCAATAGGCCCAACACCAATATCCTGCCGAAAGGAGTGTCCAGACCATGAATTGGCAATATCACTGCCTTCACAAGCCAGGGGATGGTCGCCCAGATAAGTGCTTGATTGAGCAGCACTTGCAGCCTGGTTGCTGTTGTAGTTGTTGATCACAGCACCAGGAGATAGAAAATTCCCTTGACAATCTCCGTGCTGCTGCAAAGCTCCAATTGTAGGGGCATGGTTAGGGCTCGTTGGCTGGTTAGTCATGCCCAACACATCAATTGGGTCAATAAAGTCCATATTATCAGCTGCTTTGCACACTACTTCTGGCTGATTGTCATTTCTTTGTGTCACTTCAACCTCAACCTCAGCAACTGGAGGACGGGCTGAGGGCCTTCTCTGCTGTCGAGATTTAGGTTTAGTCGTTTCTTCCTTGCTAATAGCTAGTTGGTTGGAGGGTTTATCTTGACGCTTTCTCTTAGGCACTCTAGTTGAGGTCTTCTCTCTCTCTAATCTGCAAAACAGGCTGAGCATCTCCTCATCATCTTTGGATGATGTAGAACGAGGAGGTTGCTCCAGGCGGTCGACATCATACTCGTCACTGCTGCTATATATGCCCTCAGTTCTGTCCTCTGAAGTACTATGCTGGGCAATCGGTAGTAAAGCACTGCCAAAACTGTGAATAGACTTCTCCTCGCGTTGTAAAACACCAAGCCAAATGAGGCTCTCTTTTTGCAGTCATTTTGTCCTGCAGACACTTTGATTTCCTTACACGATTTCTGATCTTATCGAAGTTTGGGGCCATGTGCTTGATCACACCCGTCAGAACACCAACTTTCCAAACCTTCTTCAGATCATGTGGTTTCCTGTACGGAGGCGCTTCTCCCTTGAAGGCCCAACGCAGGCCACCATGGCTCATTCCCTGATGGCCACCAAGGGGGCGGGACACCCATATCCAACGGATAGCTTCGCTGCTGTGGGCTGCAGTGTTGCATCAACGCTGAAAGTAATGAACCCAGAGTGCCATCTTGGAGGTCCATCAGGCTATGCTGGTTCATGGCTCCACTGCTCTTAGGATTACTCAGCATCGAGTGCTCAACCTCGTATTTTACAATCGCTGCTGGCCCATTCTTATCAAACTTCACCTTCTCCTTCCACCAGGCCCTAATGTTATCCGATGCACCACTAACAGGCTTCCCTTTCTCAGGAATAATCCCATACACGAACCCCCGTGCATTGCACACCTCCATCAGCTTGAGCATGTACTTCAGAATCCCATCCTGAGCCCTCGTCATCTTCTTCCGGAGAGCTTGATCTGAAATCTTCTTTGTCTTGGATTTCTCCAGCTCCAACCGCTGCAAAGCGAGCTTCTGCTGCCTCTCCCTGATCCTCTTGAGCTTGACCTTGTCTTTCCACATTCGCCGGGCAAGCTCTTCAGCATCAATCTCCTCGTCACTGACATCATTCTCGCTGAGGTTGTCGATGCCATCAACCTCGAAATCTGTTGCGTCCCCTAACTCGGACGCAATAATAGCAAGATGGTCCGTCATGATCACTTCAAGCAGTCAGCTTCCTTAACCAAGTTGCATCACACCATCAAACTTGCAGTACTCAGTTGCTTTGTATTCTCGCTCATCAAATACCCGAATGAAGAATCTATCGCAGCAACCTGCCAGTATATGCATGTGGTCAGAACCTTTTAAAGAAAAAAAAATACTACAATGCAAGTCACTAAGGAATAGTCTTACGAATGAAACTAAACAGCCTAAGTTTTCTGGCAATCAGAACATTTAGCACACTGCAATGATCGAACTACACACAGTAGGCAAAAATGAAAAAATAACTAATCCATCCGATTCAGTCAGTTCAATGGGGACTCGGAGCAACACACAGTAGGCAAAAATGAAAAATTAACTAATCCGATTCAGTCAGTTCAATGGGACTCGGAGCAACCCTCGCAGACTCGCAGTCCAAAGACATCCGTAGCACTGCTCGAGCCAAAACTACATGCATGACAGCTAGAAAAAACAAATCGATATTATTCTACAAACACGACCATTGTCCGAAACAAAAGGAACTTGAACCCGAAAACCAATCCAACGACAGCACCAACCATCCCCAACCACCCGATGATCCCTGGACTACCTCGGCCGACAGAGCAATCCGAATCCCGAACGAACCCTAACCCACGCAGGGAGGGGAGCGGAGGACAGGCACGATTCACCGCCCGTCGACACCGCCAAAGCACTCCCCGAGAATCAATCGCAGCCGACAACAGGAACTGCTCCAACGAAGTCGTCGATTCGTACCTCGTCGAGGGGCGGACACGGACACGGACGCGGCGGCGGAATCCGCGAGGAGAATTTCGCGGCCGGGTTCGGAGGGGGGTTCGCGTCGCGCCGCCTCCGCTGCGGCTGGTTTTTATTTGGGAGGAAAATTGGAAGGAGCAGGGCGGAGCGGCGGCGGTGGGAACCACACGCACGAGCGCGAGGGAGAGCGTGCGAACCAAAAAGGCAACCCGCATTCGTGACGCGACGAGCCGAATTTTATTTTTATTTCCTTATATAATATTTTTTTCTATAAATAATATAGGTAGAAATAGAAATACAGCAAAAACACGGTTGGTGGTGGTGCACATGCATTTGTAGTAAAAAATATCGGAAGAGCTTGGGGTCAATTTCTTGTGATTGGTGAACCATCGGTGCAAGGACAGCTCAAACGCGGGGAAACCAAGCTGTTCTTGGTGTGTCGTGACGTGGGAGAAGAGTTGGCGTTTGGCAAACCTTCTCGCCGATCTCACGCACGGCATGACGGCGGCATTCCTGATTCCTCTGTTTTTTCGAGACCATGGATTCACCGGATTTTTTTGACTGTGAAAAAAAATGCTCGTGGTTATCGCCTGCCATTACGACGATGATGCACTGCTGATTCAGTCTCCACCCATCCGTCGCATCTGCATTTCCATCTACAGTAGTGGGCAGAGGTTCGTTGAACCTGGACACCCTTCCGAGTGACCTGTCGTCGAGTGAAAGCGTCCAGGTTCGATGTATCTGCTACAGGGACCCAGGAAGACGACATCGCTTGTTTTGGCCCGAAATGTAACTTCTTAAGGCCGGCCCATATGAACGTTTAGGGATGGATCCGCTTCCTACAGTTTTAGGCCGTGTTTGTTGCATTAGGATGAGCTGGCCCAGGTACGAAACAGCGGTACAAGGCCCGGTTGGTGTTGCACCATCTTTTTCTGCTGCAAAAAGTTTATTTTATATCTCTCAACTACGTGTTGTTGAAGTATAATCGCCATATAGAGCTAAATATAAATTGTAGAGGCTTCTGAAGAAATTTCGATGGGACCTAAATATTTTATTTGGATTATCCCCATCCATTTCTACGTTTTTCCTAGAATTTTTAGAAGTTTATATACATTTTCATGTGGATCAATAATCCTATTTTTTAACTAAAAAGGAGAAAAAATCGACATCAAAACTACTTCAAAAAGGCACAAGAGGCAATTTAAATCATTTTAAGAGTTCAGAGCTATGATGTCTAGGTTTGGAGTTCGAGCAGTAAAATCAGACTACCATGATAGTTAACGGGGTAAAATGGATTTTCCCCTTCTTTGCACTTTGATCAGCCTGTGTCTTTTTTTATGGAAAACGAGCCTGTGTGTTACAATAGGACCTGGTACGTCTTCAAATAAAATTTTGTACCATCGCTGGATGCGAGTCGTTCTAACCTGTATGAGCACGGGTCATGTATCCATGTCATGGGATGTGGAGGGCATAAGAGCATTTTGGAAAGTAAAAAATGGTTATAAGAATCCATTCGCTCTTTGATATTTGATATAGATATGGATATAGATATAAAAACAATATACAAAAAGTATTACTTTTTATGATACCTATCGGGTTCATAAACTCGGGGTCCCCAATGGACACGCTTCCCTGCAAAACCCGGCCCAGCAGGCGGCGCAACGACAACGCGCGCCTGGGTTGGCCTAGATACATAATGACAGGCCGAGACAACGATCCGGTCCCCGACCAGAAGGGCTGGCCAAGGTGGAACCGCAGTCCGACTCCGACCTCTTTCTCCGACCGAGGATACGCCGGATGTCGACGAAATATGGTCGGCAGTCCACCGAGGGGGGTGCCCATGGTGGTAGATTATCGGTAGACGGTGCGTGTAATCAGGAACCAGATGGTGACACAAGGCGCAGAGACAGCGATTTAGACAGGTTCGGGCCGTCTGGTCGACGTAATACCCTACGTCCTGTGTCTTTGGTGTATTGTATTGAGATGTATACAGATTAACCTGTCCTCTAGGGGACCCTTGTCTCTCCTTATATACTCCGAAGAGACAAGGTTATAAGTAAAGTATCCAATTTGGTACTATTACAATATCTAGTACAACTTGTAATCTTGATGTGCACGCCTTGATCTTACGGGCCGGGCCACCTCGGATGGTGCGGCATGTACCATCTTGTGGTACCCGGGGGTATATCCCCCACACCGGACCTCTGCTCGCTGCTCTTTCCCGATCGACACGGTCCGAGCCCACTGGGAACGACCGACCGGGGACGCCCGCTCGGTGAGGGCCCAGGGATCAGGCGGAGCAGATAAAGTAAGGCGCCAAGTCAACCGCAATACTGAAGACCGTACTCTGCCATGCCCTGTGCACCTGTAGGACGGTGCCACCAGGCCATGCCAAACGGGCACTATACAACCTACCAGACGCGTCAGAGCACAAACATTATTGTAGGCGCCAATGTTTGTCGTACCAGACGAACACGGTAGAGCCTGCCAGATACGTCTGAACATAAACAGTATTGTGGGCACCGATGACCATCTCGTACCCGACAACGTGGGCGACAAGACTAGGTAGCACACGTATACACTCTCTCTCTTTCTCTCTGACTTGTAAGGCCATCCCTTTCAACTATAAAAGGGGATGCGCTCTCTCCCAACAAAGAGGGCTAGACGACTCGAGGACTCAACGACCTGAGGACTCGAATAGCTCAATAGCTCTAGAACTCGACAGCTACACAGAGCATACGCTCCAATACTTAGCGCACGTTAGAGCACCCGTCACTTTCTTCCATTCGGTTCAGAGTCCGACTGGGCCTTTAACACCCCCTTCTCATTCCCACTCGTTTGTAACCCCACAGTAAACTTTGAGCACCTGGGCTCAGGAATAAAGTCACCGACCGACTAAAACTGGACGTAGGGCACGTTGCCTGAACCAGTATAAATCCTGTGTCATTGAGTGCTAGGCCACATCCGATCACAACGCACGACAAAACTACAAATATTTACTTGTTGGTCAAATTTCGCACCGACAATACCAAATAAACATCATTAGATAAATCACGTCATATATTTTTGTAGTAAACCTATTTAAAGATACAAGTGTTAATAGTATTTTCTAAAAATCTAGAACGTTTAACTCCTCAGAGTGCGAGATGTGCACTTATTTTCGAACGGGGTATAGATGAAAGACCTGGTACAAGGCCAGTTTGGTCAAGCTTTGTCGTGCCTTGCTAGCAGCAGCAAGTGAGCTAAATTTGCTCTTTCGTGCCGGTTTAAAAAAAATTCTTGCCAACGCAAGTCTCAACGCAAGTTTGCCTATCAATCAAATTATATCCTTTTTATTTTAGCTGAACAAGGTTATGTAGACGGAGAGAACCAAACGCCCCCATTCTCTTTTGGCGAGATTGTTTTGAGGTACCCTTGACGGATTCATCTTGACCTGATCTTGCTCGAACAAGGGCTAGAGAAAATAAACATGTGCCACTCGTCCTATCAAAGCACAGAGTAAGGGCTTGTTTGGTTCCTCTGGTTTGAGCACCTGGAATAATTCTAGGTTAGAATGGTTCACTAATTTATACAATCTTGATAAGTTGAAATTATTCCTGGCTCCTTCCTAGCCACTGTTGCGCCAATGACGTGGTGCGGAAGCTCGATAGAACAATGGTTGTCGCGGGTGGATTGATGAACCGAAAGGAGGTTGCACACTAGAGCAAGGCAACGAGAACGTTTTTAAGAGAAAATGAAGTGTCAGCTGTGGGAAGTGTGGAAGTGCCACAACTAAGGATGGGAATGGATTGACGATTTGTCCACAATTATATAGGGAGAAGAGGGGGAGAGACGAGTGAGCAATCAACCATCCGAGGAGGACATATGCGATGTAGCACCAGTGTCGAGCACCCAGGTGTGTTGAAGCAGAGTACCGTGCCATCGCCCACGCTATCGTCGAGTGTTGCTGGTTGCGCCAGCTTCTCAAGGAGCTCCATCTACTCCTACCCTCCACCACGGTTGTCTTATGAGACAACGTCAGTGTTGTATACATGACAACAAACCCCATCCATCACCACCGGACCAAACACATCAAGATTGACATTCACTTCATCCGTGTCGTCTTGGCGTTTGGGTCAAATTTGGGCATGTAGCATGGCGTGCATGCCTGCGCACATGTACACACACATGCAAGTTCTTGTGGCCTGCACATGGTTCGTACCTTCATCCAACTTGCCATGTGTGGTCGTGGATCAATGTCT